TCACGAAGAAGTACAGTGCTGCTCCCCAAAACAGCATGGATAAGAAGATATAAATAGCAGGTGTAGGTAGAATTTTTTCCCTGTGGCAAAGCTAGAAATAAGATTTTTCATATTAATGCAAATTAAAGAATTCTTACACAGCTACAAAAAAGAGAAAATTGTACATACCTTCATCATTATGTAAAAGAATGTGTATAAAATTAAATTGGACATCAATATAGCTAATAAAAATGTAGCGAAGTTGCCTCGCTGATACATATTACCAAATACCGCAAGTCCAACGTTACATAAATTCGCCAGTACGAGCATTATAAATCTTGCGGGATAAAGTGGCCGGAGTAGGTGCCATATGCCGCAGCGCGCCTCATGTTTGAATCTCTGCAAGATATAATTGGAGAATGTGTGTCACGATGATACGGTAAAATCAAAGAGATACCATACCTGTATCATTCTTTTAAAAACGCCTCTGTCAAATTTGCATCGACCCATATAATATATTTGTACAGTCAAAAAGAAGCATATTAATAAATGCAGGATGGAAAATATTATCAAAAAGGATTTAGAACCATTTAGAACTCCAATCAATCCTGCGAATATTATAACAGCTAACATTCCAAATGTTACCGGTGCTCTAGCGTTTATATCGGGATGACGATTTTGATAAATCTTGATCATACAGAGTACCGCGATTACGTACATAAAGCTGGTGTCTAAAAATTAAATAATAATATATAACATAGAAGACAATACGTTTTGTTTGTAATAACTTACCGAATTGAAAATTGCTACGGCTAGGGCATACGTGGTAACTCGCCGACAATATACCTTCCATTATTAATGCAGTGCCCATTGCATAAAATAAGCCATAATGTTGTGGTATGCCGTAGCATTTAATTTTCTCTTTGTCAGGTTCGTTGTGCTCTCGAGAATAAGTTAAAAAGATAAATAGTAAACCCAGCATAACGTATCCAAAATTTGAAAATAGGTGATTGAAGTCGGACAACAAACCCAGGGGATGAGCACATAGAAAATTGTAATAGCACATGTCTTGATTTCCAGTTGTGTGAAGTACGCGCTGATACGTCACCGCCAATTGTACAACTGGCAGTGTATAGAATATTGCGACAGTTGCCAAGTAATATAAATATAAACGAGATTTATGTCGTAATATCCTTGGTTCCTTGCGAGCGAGATCACAGACCGAGAGAATGACCTTTGTTCGTATTACATCTTTATCAGAGAGAGCATCTTCCATTAGATCTATATCGTCCTCATCTAGAGATGAATCTTCCTCTGTAGAATTCCATTGTTTCGGACTATTCTGACAAAATATTTAATATTACAAACATTAAAATTATTATAAACATACTTTGCAAAAGGCATAAAACATGAACGACTATGCACAGGATAAGGCATATTTTTATTTTATTTTATTAATGAACTACAAATTTCCTTTAAAATTTTAAAACTTTTGTCCAAAACATTTTTTATATTTTTTCTTTCTTAATTTTTAAGATATTTACTTATTACATTTTATGTGTCTCATTCTGTACATGAAATATTAATCCAGTATTATTAGTTACCTCTTCTACCACTGATGGACTCGGTACGTGTTCGTTAAAATCTTGGTTTTGGTCATTTATCGGGTCTTGTGTCGCAAGTTTTTTACTCTCTCTAATATTGAACACTATTACAGCCGTTATATAAACAATACAAAATCCTAATATAATTGCTGCTGCTGACATCGATGCAACAACATAATCCCGTTTGCTAATAGTTGGATTTAAAATTAATGTAACATTTTTAGTACGAAGAGGATTACTATTAGACAACCCATTGCAGTCAGTGTCCTCCCCTTTGACAACAAGTATAACGAAAAATCCTAATGGATAAGCTTCTCTCTGAAACAAATATTGTAAGTTTCATGTTGTAATACTGTTGCATTAGAATAGCATATATTATAACAACTTTATTGGAATTATATATGCAGATTGGAACGCAGTAATCTAACGATTTTCGATTAATTTTAAATTAAATAACAATATGAAATGTAACTTAAATATTACTTTCTTATTATATGTATAATACAAAATAATGGAATATGCCAATCAGTTGCAAGAGCTCCTCACCAAGCACTCAATGAGCAGCCATAGTACTGAATACATCCAAAGCAGCTTAATAAGTGCTCAGTGATTCTTTAACATAATTAGTTGCTGCTTTTAGTTCTTCACTGAATCACTGTAAAAACCAATCATAATAAAGAATGATTAAGCGTTCACTGAGCTGTTTGCTGTCAGCTAAATGCAGTTATTATCCAACTTACACAAATATATTATTAAGTTATTTTGTATATTGTTATATTATATATACTTAGTTTGTGTATTATTTTATTTAAAAAATCGTTAGATTTTCATAGTCCAACCTATATAAAATCTATCAATCACATTATCTGGAAAATTATTATAGTGCAACTTACCGGTACTGTAATACCTCCTCTTCTACTTACAGTCTGCCAGTGTCCAGAAAACTCAATGTTTCGTTCTAAATCAAATACAGGACACTGGAAAGGAAAGATACAGATTTGTAAGTATTGATTCTATTAAGAACTGTAACATAATGCCTTACCGATGTATTCTGTACAGAAACAGTCATACAGATGTCATTATCTGATTCAACACGAACAATGACTGAGGAATTCTCCTGCTTTGAGAAGATGTAGCCATAATATATAGGTTCGGATGGAGAAATTTGTACTTCAACTTTATTTCCAGAACTACAAAAGATTAAATGTAAAAATTTATATATGCAAGTGTATTTTTGATATTTTTTTAAATAATTTTGTACCTGTATGGCAATACATACCTCAAATAAAAATCTGTGACTTCCACCACACTAATAGAAAAAGTGATATTTTCATGACTGGCTGTGGAGATACCGACAATAACATATTCGTCATCATTTTGTGCGTATCGATAATACTTTGTGGAGCACAAAGTACGACTAGTTTTATTATATATCACAGTATCTAAATCCGCACTGTTGACAAGCAAAGGTATTTGCCAAGACAGAATACCCGTTGTTTGACGTACTACTATTATCAATGGCAAACTATGAGTCGCATTGCTTTCTATTGTAATCCTTGCAGTTTCTAGAGTTACCTACAAATATATCATTAATTTGTTAATATCTGTAAGTAATAGAACTTTTTTGAAGCTTTACCTTATTTTTTTTTCAGTAACTAAAAATATGTAATAATTATCAGTCAGATGTTAAGAAACAGAAATCGTGTAGCACTATAAGTAAAAACAGAATAGGAGATATATACTCAATAAATTAGTTTCATCAGAACTTACATTGCTCGCAGGATACAAAAAAACATATTCAACTGTAGCATTTATGGTTTTATTATAAGTATGTTCATAATTAGCTTCTATAACAATTGGAGAAAATGATGGAGATGATAAAGAAATCATAGCTCTCACATCAAGAAATAACAATACAGTAATCAATCTTAAAGTGTTTTGTATCTCCATTGCTAGAAAAGAGACCAAATAATTTGAACAAATTTTGCTCGAAAAGAAATCAAACATATTTAAGTTACAAATAAATTTAATAAACGTTTGTAGTACCTTCGTAATAATAATTTATATAAATTTATAAACAAGACAATTATACAATTTAACTACAACTAAAAAAATCAATAAAATTGGGTTTATTTGACGAGTTTTTGCATGAAACGAAGGAATTTGATAGAAATAAGTATCACTCTGTTCCAAGAATCAAAATATTAAATATTAAAGTCGACGACTTTTGTGGTTAAGAAATCTGTCAAAGCTACAAGGATAATTGCGAATTTGCGATGCGACTATTGTACACCCAATACATGCACTTTAGGTCTGTTCTTTACTCCTCCTGCATTGTCTGAACTGGTGCACACCTTTGACTAGTCAAAGGAAATGACCAATCATAGTTAAATGAAAGAGGAGTAATCGATTATGATTGCTTAATTTCTTATAAATTTCGCGGCATAAATTAATAGATTACGGTCAGTATAAATGTCAATTTATCTGCCATAAAAGAGAATCGATTCTCTCTAAAAAAAAAAAAGGGGGAGAGAATCGATTATATCCTCGGCTAAAATTCAAAATATCGACTCTCAAAAATCGGAAAGAATGGACGCATTCTGCGGATTCAACAGTTGAATAGGTGCATCCAGAAGCACGACCGCTCACTAAGCGCTCAATGAGCTTTTTTATCTGATTGGCATATTCTATTAGATCTAAATATATAAACCAAACAGGTACAAGAGCTCACTGAGCGCTCAATGAGCGGTCGTGCTTCTGGATGCACCTAATGAGTGCTTGATATTGGTATATTCTTCTTGATCTAAGGATCTGATTGGATGATCCAAAAGGAAACACCAATAGCAGCAAGCGCTCACTAAACTGTTGAGTTCACCGAATGCGCCTAATTTCGCATCACTGAACGCGAGGTAAATAATGGCGGAACTGTGTATTGTTATTACGTGTAGACGATAATGGTTATTTGTATCTTGGCACGTAAACGTACGAGGTATCGATTCTATTTGAAAGGATGCATCAGTTAAGACGCGTTTTCGCCACGTCGCAAACGTGAGGCTACGCCCGCGGTGCGAGAACGCGCAAGAATTCCCCCTCGAAGAGAGAGAGAGAGAGAGAGAGATAGAGAGACTTGCGGTTGTGTCGTAATTCGGAGTGAACAGCGACATACCCACCGCGACGTTTCCCAACGTTTCCTGACGTTTACGATACACCCGTTTCGCTTCCCAAGTTCCCACCCGTAAAACGGGCAGAATGAGCTGCGGATTCGTCCGGCGACATGAACGGTTTAGGAGATATTTTTGATAACGCTCCCGTTTCCCCCTGTGATGTAAGGAGATCTTGACGTACGTGGTGCTCGCCTACCGTACGTGCGTGTTAACTTGTGCCTGACGGAGTACTCGAGAGATTTTGTTATTCATCATGGTACACGGCAATATACCGAGCGTATATAAATATAACTTTTGGGCGGAGAGGCCCGGGGACGCGCACGAGCCCTCAGTGGTTGAACTCACGTGCCTGATGCCAAACGGTGTTGTCATACCGTTTGAGATCAATCGCAATATTACCTTAGATCAGATCAAGGAGGTGAGTATTTTGTCTATACAATGTATCTAATGGTGAATTCAGTCACTGGCATTATACTTTATGATTATACATTAAAGTCTGCTTTCATGTAAAATATCTAAATGCGATGGTGAATAATAACAAACAATTGAATAATGCACGTATATATTCTGTTAAAGAACGTGACAATATCTCCAAACAGCAAGTTGTCCACAGATTGCTGTCAATTTATTTGCTTAAGTTGTCTCCAATACTTAAAAAAACCAACTTCTGATTTTGTTTATTGAATTGCTGATTATTATTTTATTAATTGTTTAAAATGTTTATGTGCTTTTATATTTAACTATGTTAATATTATGTATAGCAACTTTCAGTATACTAATCATGTGTAATGCAGTGACTGAATTTGCTATAAAGTCTGTTGTTTATCGCTGTAGTGGACTGTACTAACTTTCTTGCTTTTGCCAAATGTTAAATATATATACATATAAAATTTTAAGTACAATGAGTAGGTACATTACTTCAGTTATAAAGAACAGACCTCCAAGGAGAACAGCATTCTCTTTCTTGTTCTTTAATCCTTTAACTGTACCAGTGGAATATATATTTGCAAGGCGATTGATATATTAGATACACGACTTGAACATAAAAAATATGAAAGATATGATTACATTTGCATCTTAGGATATATTCTAGTTAATTGCTCACAATGCTCATTTATTTTTATTTAATCATAAGGACATAATAACATCAATAAATGTTGATACCAGATGTTTATTTATTATTCAAGTAACATGAGGATACATGCAATCTTGTATTTAAATAACATAAATACCTGGATTCTTTTATTGTATTGAGTGAGTGCAAAAGTTGTATCAAGTTACAAAAAAATTTGTATGTAAATTCAGAATATATACTTTATTCAAATTTACAATTATATTATTTGATGAAGTAAAATTTTAGCTTTAAGAATCTGTTTTTTTTTTATACAATGATTTAACGGAGTTATGAGCAATCAAAGTGAAAATGTTCTTTTACTGACTTTCAAAGTCATCATCTTGTATGTCAAGGTCAAGGTGTTTGGAGATTGTTCCTCTTCCATTTTTATGTTAAAAATAAAAATAACAGGACGTCACATGACCATGATTTTTTTTAAACAAATGTTATCATAAGGTCATAATTCTAAACATTTGAAAAGTTTTAACCATCAGATAAACACCATAGATACTAAATGCTATAATACAGATGGTACTGTAACTTTCAAGCCTTACAACTCAAAAAATAGTCAATGGAAGAATATTTTGCTTCAGTGTTTTGAAAAGTTCTTGATATGTATAAGCTACAAGAATGTGCATTGAGAATTTCTATTTAAAAAAATCTATTTGATCTTGATCTAACTTTGGTGACGCCAATGTCGAAATGAGAAAGAGATTAGTAAAAAGATCTTTTTAAATCCTACAATTTTTGTTTAAAACATTTTTCTGTAAAACTTATATTTTTAAAAATATGCTAGTACTTTTGTCCCATTCTGTATGCATGTGTATATGCAGATTGAATCTTTATGACCAACATTGAAATGAATTATGACAACTGAGAAAAGGGTAAGAGACCATATGTATGAGAAAGTGAAATATTCATCTCCCATGATAAAATGTTGATGCAGCTATTAAGATTCATCTGTATATAGTGAAATAACAATCATATACATAAACATTATGTTTCTGATGAAAATTGTCTCATATTCTTGTCTAATATTTAATAAATAATAAGGATGAAATGACTGCAATAGCTACAAGTATGTTGCGTGGAACACATCTTCAGCTATATAATATAAAAATAAAACGTATATTTATCTAATAACTACAAATATACTTCAGCACACATATTGTAATAAAAACACTAAAAAATAATTTTATATTGATTTAAATTTGTAATTATTTATATATATAATAAGGTGAGCACAAAAGTCAATGCATATGAAATATTCCAATATTGTACAGTTAAAGGATTGCTATGTAATCGTTGCAAAAATATAAATTGACGGATACTTAACAGGATCTGTGGGATGAGGCTAGTAAATATCCTCTTCATGGAACATTGAAAGACGCGCCGTCATATGTATTTTCGTGTATTAATTCGAACGCAGAGATAGAAGAATTGCGGGATGAAACGAGACGTCTCTGTGATATAAAACCTTTTTGTTCGGTATTAAAAGTTATAGAACGGGAAGGTATAAAAAGTGATAGGAATTTAGATTCGCAAATTGGTGTCCTAATCGGTAAGGGATTGCACGAGTTCACTGCCCTGAAGAATTCTGAGGTCAACGACTTCAGATGGAAGATGCGGCTCCTGGGAGACGATGTAGCGTTAAGTAGACAGAAAAGATGCTGGACGGAAAAAGTGCATTATCAGTTTCCTTCTAGGATAGCGCCGACGTCTACCGTACCTAAAAATATTGAGAGCCGTTTAAAGGACGGCAATATCGTCTTATTTACTAAATTCGAAAAGTCAGAGGTAAGGCAAAATTATCGCTATCGAAGGAAAAAATATCATTCAAATAAATTCTCAAATAAAAATTAATATTGTTTTGTAGGTTACATTTACCTTTCAAATAGTACATACTACTACACCTCCTGAACTGATCGAGGCAATCCTGAACAAAAGGGCAAATATTCTTAAAACTCGCGGCGAACAACCAAACGATTTTACGTTAAAGGTTTGCGGACAGGAAGAGTATTTAATCGGCGATAATATTCCGCTTATACAATTTGGTTATATTCAAGATTGTCTAGCGAAAGACGTCATGCCTACGCTGGTTATGCTCAGCAGACAGAGTGTACCTGTGGACCAAGATAGCGCCTTCGACAATCTGGACGTGGATACGTTGCAACGTACGAAACCATCGTCCTCTACATTAACGTTACGTAAAAAGGGCAAGCATATCTCAGCGTGGAAAATCGAAGAACCTTTTGTTTTCACCGTGAATGGAATTTCTCGCCTTAACTGTGATGCCGCGCATCGTACTGTAGAGGTGTGCCTCAATTTCTTTGATATATTTCTTTAAAATAAGATTATTTGAAATTTGTGTAATTTTTGTTTCTTTTGTGTGTATAGATTGGACTGCAAGCTGGCCTTTTTCACGGTGGAAAATCCCTCTGCGAAAGTCAGAAAACCAAAGAAATTATTGTAAGTGCCGACGGTAGCTGCGAATGGGAAGAAACTCTTAAATTCGACATTAAAGTCAGGGATATACCGAGAATGGCACGGCTGTGCTTTGTATTATATGAAATCAGTAAAACTGCGAAGGGTTTAAAGAGCAGGAGACTGATTAGGGATTCGAAGCAGGAATTTTTCATAAATCCTTTATGTTGGGCGAATACGACGATATACGACTTTAAGTCACAATTAAAAACGGGTGCTATGACATTATATACATGGACATACGCGGAGGATATACAAAATGATGATTTGCTTCATCCCCTTGGAACAGTAGTTTCCAATCCACATATAGATAGAGGAGCTGCTCTCATGTTAACATTTCCAAAGTAATTATTTGTTTTCTTATTTACAAAGTGAGAATACGTTACATTATATCTGTCACTTATTATTTTGTAGTTATGGAAAGGATCAATGTGTCTTATATCCTACTCCGGAAAAAATGGTGGAATATGCCCAAACATTGCGAGAACAATCTAATGAGCGCTTAGTTAAAGATGAATTAAATCAGGAGTCCGATGTTGGTAGTCAACAGTTAGAACAATTGAGATTACTAGCCGACAGGGATCCGCTACACGAATTACATGAACAAGAGAAAAAGACAATGTGGACGTTGAGGCATCATTGTCTTCGTGAAATCCCAACGCTTTTGGCTAAACTGTTACAATGCGTTGAATGGAACGATCATAGGTAAGAAATTAATTCATTAATCGCTTATGAAGTTGTTAAAAAGATAAAAAACAGATTAAAACTCGTGAATCTTTGTAGAGAAGTTGCGGAAGCCACAGCGCTTATACAACAATGGCCAAAACTGCCAGTAGAGAAAGCGTTGGAGTTGTTAGACTATGCTTACGCTGATCAAAACGTTAGAAATTTCGCTGTTCGCTGTTTGAGAGACGTAACAGACGACGATCTCAGTCTCTACCTGTTGCAACTGGCTCAAGTCTTAAAACATGAGAATTATTTGGCATGTCCTTTGACAGAGTTTCTTTTAAAACGGGCACTTAATAATCAGAGGATAGGACACTTTTTATTTTGGCATCTCAGGTTAGACAAAATCTTGCATTTTATTTGCTTATTTATTATGATTTACAGTCTCTTTTGATATTATTACATATATTAATTTATTGTTCCAAAAACAGATTACAATCATCTCATATTATTTTTATTGAAAATTTAATCGTTTAATCAATCAGGCATTTATAAACCGAGGCAACATGTAAAGTGACAATCGAGATTAAATAATGAGTCGACCACTTTACACACTGAAGTCTCATGATTATCTTTATTCCTTGCACTTTTAATTAATTCACTATTCATTTCTTGAAAATTAGGTCAGAAATGCAGGTTGGCGCAGTATCCGTTCGTTTCGGTCTCATATTGGAAGCATATTGCAGAGGAAGCCAACAGCACATGTTATCGTTATTTAAACAGATGAAGTGCTTGGAGAAACTGAAGAGTGTTTCGCAGCAAGTGAAGCTGAAGAAGGATCGTAAGGCGGCTCTTCAGGGTTTTCAGGACATCATCCTGGAACCGCACTGCCAGGAAGCGATATCCGATGTCCTTAATCCCCTTGATCCAAGTTTCAGATGGAATCGCATCAAGTAAGCTTACCATTTTCACTTGTCAAATATATTATTTTTCACATTACCTTTATCATCTTGTTTTCCTTTTATCAGAATCGAAAAATGCCGAGTAATGGACAGCAAAATGCGTCCACTCTGGTTAGTTTTCGAGAATAGTGATCCTTTTGGCGATGATATTTACTTAATTCTCAAACACGGAGATGACTTGAGACAAGACATGTTGACACTCCAGATGCTACGCATTATGGACAAGCTCTGGAAGAAGGAGGGCTTGGATTTACGTATGAATCCATATGGTTGCATATCTACGGAGAATAGAGTCGGGATGATAGAGGTAGTCCTAAATGCGGAGACAATCGCGAATATTCAGAAGGAAAAGGGCACATTTTCTGCTACGGCGGCCTTCAGGTGAGTAATGAAAATACAAAATATCGATATAATTCAACAAATATATATCTGTAAGACTTCACGGTTTTTTGCATTTACAGGAGAGGTTCCTTATTAGCTTGGCTAAAGGATCACAATCATACGGAAGCGGCGTTGAACAAAGCGATCGAGGAATTTACTTTGAGTTGTGCGGGTTATTGCGTAGCGACGTACGTTTTAGGAATAGCTGACAGACATTCTGACAATATAATGGTTAAGAAGACTGGACAACTGTTTCATGTCGATTTTGGTCACATTTTGGGTCACTTTAAGGAGAAATTTGGATTCAGACGTGAACGAGTACCCTTCGTTCTGACCAATGATTTCGTACATGTCATAAATAAAGGTCAAACGAAGAAAGGGCACGCTGCCGAGTTTCAAAGATTTCAGAATCATTGCGAGCAAGCCTTTTTAGTTCTGCGCCAACACGGAGGACTTATATTGTCTCTGTTTGCCATGATGATATCTACCGGTTTGCCTGAACTCTCGTCGGAGAAAGATCTGAATTATCTTAGAGATACCTTGGTATGATAGCCATTTAATTATACATTATATATACAATTAAGTGTAATGATACATTCAAATAATGCATTTAAATACGTTTACAGGTCCTAGAAATGTCTGAAGGCGAGGCACAAAAGCATTTTAGAAGCAAATTCGATGAGGCCCTTTGCAATTCGTGGAAAACGTCGTTGAATTGGGCGTCGCATAATATGTCCAAGAATAACAAGACTACGTGAATAGCAACAATTATCAATAATGTGAAAGATTCTACGCACTTAAAATTACTGTCACATGACGTCATCGAACGTTACATCGCATTATAAAATGTAATGTTAAGACATTGTGACACATTTGACAAGCACATCGCGTTTACTGCTTGTCCGAGGCTGGAGGAGTGCAAAAAAATAATAATGCTGTCGTTTTCGACAGACGTCGTTAGGATTGGAAATCGACGACCGTAACCAGTATTTGAGACTGTATAAAGCGATCATTGCTGCTAATATTAGCGGACTCGTACTATCGAATGATAATTTAGTAAAATGATTTCTCGAGACTCAGATACATTCGTACGGTTTTTTAGAGCTCTACTTTGTGCAGCACAAGCAGTGTCTATGTTCAAGTACTTTTCTTAAGGGGTTAGTGCACCTTGGAGGCCTCAAAATCATACCTTACTTTAGGAGGTAGTAATTAAAAAATATATGATACAAAAAATTTTTTTATATATAAATATATACTTTGTTGCTTATACTTTGATGTACAAATGTCAATATTTTTCATAATTATAAAAACAAAATGGATCATGTAATGAAGGCATCCGCGATGGACAGCAGAATAGGTTCAAAATATGCTGTAGCCAAAAAAATTATTTGTAATCTGCATCAAATTTGCTAGAGAAATACCTAGCAGAATTAAAAAATATTGAAAAATGCGAAAATGGTGAATTCATGAAGAAAGAGGTTCAATTTTCACGTAAAAATTCAACATAAAATATGGATTACAAAAAAAGTATATAAGTTATCGCAAAAACCAAAAATATTTTTTTTAGATAATTCAATTGACAAATAACTCAGTAAAATTTCAAAGCATTTGGATGAAAGTAATAGTTTTGGTTCATCGTTTTTAAAAACACCATTTTGAGAAAAACGAGATTGAAGTTTCGAGTCAAGTTATTTTGTTTATAAAATAATATGACATAATCAACTGTATCTTTGTTAATATTCAGAATTTCGCATTCAAATAAAAAATTTTACATTCTTAAGACCACAAACTCGATTTAAGCAATAAAAGATTTTTCGATTTTTTGAAAGTTTTGAGTGTACTAACCCCTTAATTATAGACGATATTAATTAAACAAGAACCTTCCTAAGTTCTCTATTATTAAAACTTAATTTAAGACATTTAGAATTCCATCGATCGATTTTAAATCTTAAATTGTTAAAATCGATCTTACAATATTGTTTTCATTATTAGACAATTAAACTTTGTTAAGTTGGATATCATTCTAAAATCAACATTTATAATGAAAGCTTGTGATAATACACATGAGAATGTTAATTGTAACAATAAACCGTTAAATATCTCATTATTGTCTCGTTAACATAAAAAACCGACCTTAGTTTACACGAAATAGAGATATTTGCTGTACTCGATTTATCACAAGTATAACACGAAAAGGCATACGTACAACGTTTATTAAAACAGGGTTGTTAGTGATTAAGAAAAATCAGGGAAAGTCAGGAAAAACAAGAAATCAAAGAATTCATTAACCTGAGATAAAAATAAATTACCGTTATACCAATTCTAAATGATTGAGTAGAATTTTGTAAATGTTTTAAAGAAGCATTGTAAATTTTTTTTAGGATTTTTTATTTTGCAGTGAGCATTTATAGAAAACCATTAACGCATATTGTTAAAAAAAAAATTTGCAAAATATATACATTTAGTTTTTTAACATGGCCAGAGACACTACCGCGTCTCCTGATTAATGGCATTTTTATAAATTATTTCTAATTAAAATTGATTAAAGTGATAATTTTAAAGTAAACATTTTTCTTCTATTTCGCTAACAACTCTGTAAAAAAGGCGAAGGGCTCGATGATCATTTGCATAACAGATGATGACGGTTTATTCCGTACCATTAGCGATGACAGTGTGATAACTAAAAGCAATATCTATTTTGCGAAATTACCCAAAACAATACCGACAAATATGTTACGACCAAACCGATCAATTTAGGATCTCAATCGAAGTAATCCAATGTTGCAATTCGATATCTATTACAAAAAATTTCAGCAGTTATACGTGCGAAAAATCAAATTTTATAGTGCAAATAAATATATAGTCTGTTTTCTGTTCCTGCACTAGACTGAATTAGAACTCTCTTTCTCGTTTTCGACAAATATCAAACATATACCTATCTCACAAAACCTTTGGAAAATGTTAAAAGTTGAAATTGGGTACACAGTTAAGTTTGTATTGTAAAACTTGATTCGTCGCACGTACAATCGCGCCTTAGACTCGCACTGGTTATTGTATCGTACAATCGCGCCTTAGACTTGCATCGATAATTGTATTGTAAATACCATATGTTAATGAGTCAAACAAGTAGATTTGAAATAACTCAAATAACCAAGTATTTCCTTCAAACACGATTGTACGAAGACTCGCGGATAATTGCCGATTTGCGTAAGTGCGCTCTGCGGAAAATATTTTTCTTGACTCTTACGTCCACGTTCAAAAGTTTACATCTCGTTTAAATAATGATACATTTCGTGCTGACGAATCATAAAATTCTTAATTATTGTCATACGTGATATCGTGTCTAAAGTACGTGAAAATAATCGAAAAAAATCACTACGAGAGATATATATTTTGATAAATATACTGCAATATATTATTATTATTATCCACATTAGCTATATGTAATTACATCAATAGGACCATTCATACTTCAGCGCTGTCCTACGTAATAGACCGCTATGCTTTCTAAAACGGCTCTAAAACGCACGACTGTACGCTCTCCACAATGTAAGGTAAGATAATGATCTCTAATATACTAGGAAAAAAAATAAATAATATTGCAGATTGCGTCAATGTTGCATATTCATATCTCACCACCCTCTTATTACTAGCATATTATATTTAAAATTTAAATTGTCAGAGAGATGTACGAGAAAAAAAAACTTTATGCACATAACATGATAGGTAAAATAATATACATATATATATACATTTTGAAACCTCTTGATTTTATTTATTAGTGCTACTTTCAGCTACTTTTGATTTCTTTATAGATGGATTTACGCGGATTTAGCCCGTCAGAGTGTAAATAGAGCTGTAAATATGTAATACATGATAACGTATTGGATATGGAGAGGGGCATACATTCGTTTCTCCAACCAATCTCCACACGCGTATATCGTGTACGTTCTTTCATATTGTACGCAGGTGTACGTCTGTACGCATCCGTGATATCGTAAACTCGGAAAAAAGAAGCTGGCTTAATTCTCGAAAGTATTTTTTATTATATCTCGAACAATAATCATTCGTATAAATAGGCTATTTTTTTCCACCCTCATAACAGCAATACTTCTCGTATCGGAACATGTAATTTCATACAAAACGTGCATAGATCTTCTGTATTAATCAGTGTCTGTTGTAAATAAAATCAATTCTTAAGTCTGAATTTCCTTGATTACAATCGATCTTTGGAGAATTACTGCGTTATGCGAATTACTGCGAAATACGGAAGAGCGTTCTATTTATTATCCGATTAGAGATTCGTATTTTAATCAGTGTGCTTCCGGTGCATCGGAAGAAAGTCGTATAAAAATGACAGCTACCGAAGAAACAGAGCCATTGATATCCACAACGTTAGCATCTTCTGTTAGTAAGACTCAAAGAGTCACTTATCATACAATTTCTCTCGTAAGTACAAGCAAAATACCTATATGATATAATTCTCGCTTTCTCTCAATACAGTATATCGAGAGATAGTAAGTCAATATAGCGATTGTGATTAAAAATAATTTTTAGTTGGAGCGTTTTTGCATATATCTAAAAAATTTATTTTACGCGTACATACATTTTATTCTCATATCCGTGACAGCTCTTTTAAATTCAGCGTAGACGATATTCATGTCTATGGCTTCATCAGCTTCGATTATCTGATGAATGTAATTAGATATTTTGTTTTCTTTTAACAAAAGTTGAAGTAGATTCACTTAACAATCAAAACTGACAGACCTTTAATAAAATCATTTTTATGTTAGAAATTAAGAATGAAAAAACGCATAATGATGATAAATTTCTCGATATTCTTATATAAAGGAAGTGTTTAAAAAATGGGTAAAAAGACATACGTAAAAAAATACTTAATAGCTTTGTGTGAAACTCTGATAAAAAATTTCTTTAAAATTCTGTTTTCAAAACTTTTATAAATTTTGTAACTTTTTGGAAAATTTTTAGATTTCATTATATGAAGTAATTGAAATTACTTCAGAAATACTGAGAAAATATCTGTATTTTTTTCTAACAAAAATTTTTCGAAGGTTTTTTATATAATTTTTCAGAATTTTTGTATAATTTTGTAATATTTTAGAAAATTTCTCAAATTTTTTGTACAAATTGGAACACTTTAGAAATGCTAAGTTAATAACTTTTTTTAAAATTGATTATTTACGTGAGTTCTAAAATTTCTCATTCTATAATTTTTAAAGAAAAAGCCGAAAAAGTTTAAGATATTTTTTTTAGAAATTTTTATGCTATTAAAAACTTTCATGCTATTAAAAACACAAGTGCTCATATGTTTTTATAAATTTAAAAAATATGTTAAAGACATTAATTTAAATATTTCAACTTAGAATTTTTGGTCGTCCTCAGTATTTAATCTTATCATTCCAAATCTAACAATTATCTGACAATTATTGATTATTTAAATATAAAATTATTAGGTTGATCGGAAATTAGCGTCGTATTTTTAGCATAAAATATGTATACAATAACCTTGTTAAAAATGAATAAAAATTTAAATTTAAAAAACAATTTAACGCTCTACTTTCAAAAGACTACTATATTTTTTGGGGTATGTTAAGTTAGCACCCCAACTATAGTACTCAGGAGTTCTGATTAGAGTTCCCACTTCCTTTTGACGAGACGAAGAGCTCCCTATAGTTAATAACAAGAGTTCCGCTCAATAAACATTTTTTTTACATTTTTTATAAATGGAGTGCTAACTTTTTATCGAATTTCGAGGTGGAATAGTTCTGAGCGGCTAAATAGCTTCAATTTGCGATTGCCTAGAGTTCTTGATATGTAAAAAAATTTTCGAATAATAAAAAAAAAATTAAAAATTTTAGAAAAATTAATTTTTAGATACAATAGTTCTGATAATAATTCCTGCTTCTTTTTGACGATACGAAGAGTTCTCTGTGATTTTTAATGACATATGCGCTTAATAATCATTTTTTAATAATTTTTAAAAAATGGGGTGCTAACTTTTTAACGAAATTCAAG